TACCAAAAAAACAAACGAAGGTGAATAAAATTAAGAAAGGGGTTGATATGCATACTCCATGTTGCTTGCTATAAAAATGGAAATGTTTCATTGTCGGGTTGTCTAAACTCAAAGGCTTTCATTATTTGCAGTAGGATTGAATATACTTTGATTTTGACTTTGCTCACTTTGGGTGGAATAGGGTCTGTTGGGGAAAATTCAAAACACACACACACATTGTAAGACAAAGATGTTCAATTTTGAATCTACTCATCTAGGACATACGTCTATATTCAACAACAGATGCGTGAGAGATACATTTTGGAGCTTCAACCAAATTAAACAAAGTCTTAGTATAAGTATGTCATGACAGTGAACACATAAAAGTTGGCGTTGGGGGAAGTGGGTTGACTGCAACTACATGCAAAAATTGATATAGAAAGTTTAGGTGTGACTATGCATTTGGGTTTATACGTGGTTATGCAGGTAATCGGAATAACAAACAGACATGAAAACATAAATGCAAATACTCTTCCTATGTGACAACATTAGCAGTGCGAACATAACAACCACCACATCCCCGACATGTCTGGATTAACACTTAACAACTACACCCCTCCCTCTACAACTCTTTATCTGCAACACATTTGAAGATTAATATAAAACACTTGCAATAAACATAACCATATAAACTGATGATACACGCAAAATTGGTGATGCAAGCAATTGAAGAAACAAAAGGTTATGCACCCTCCTACTTAGCATATTCAATACATTTAATCGTTCATGCATACAATAGAAAAAATAAAACGTACTGCAAACATAGATGCAGACAAATATGTAAGCAACTTTACAGTGAGACTGGTCAACAAATAGCCATATGAAACGTATTGAGTATAGACACTACACATATAACAAGCTAAAAATATTAAAAATACACAGATTCTTAATAGTCAAATAATCAACTACGAAACCAACCACATTAATACATTTACAACAAAAATACGACACATCTAAGCAGATAATAGTTAACATGAGCATGTAAACGTACAAACAAATGGTTCAATAGATAACCAATTAAGTAAAAAAATATGTCAACTCACAAGGAAATTACTCACAAAACAAACATCAAACAAAACGAATGTTAAACAACTAACATCAAGCTAAGCAAATGTCAAGCAAACAACAAATTCAACAAAATGAAAAATAATTAAACAAAGAGACAACTATGCAAGTATACATGTAAACAAATTCGACAACCAACATTTATAAGGTCAAATAAATAATTTAAATAGATAGAAAACTATGCAAGTATACATGCCGGTAGGTTTGTCATCCAACATTCATAAAATCATACAGATAATTGACAGACAAGCAACTATGGAGGTATACATGCAGGCAGATTCGCCAACCTACATTCATAAAATCGAACATATTATTAAGGAGACAAATATATGCACGTATATATGCAGGCAGATCCCACAACTCACATTCTCGAAACCAAATAACACATTACTAACCCTGAATAAAAACAAAGCACAACAGTTGAAAAATACATATATTCGGCTAAGTAACCAAATAATAAAGCACATAACTAACCAGACGCACACATTTACGAACGCAAACAAATAATAACTAGCATGCATAAGTAAACAAATTAACAAATAGCTCGATTGATAAACAATTAAGCAAGTAACCACATCAACACGCAAACAAACATTTCACAAAACACACATTACACAAAACAAATGTTGGGCATGCAACCTTAAGATAAACAAATATCAAACAAACGATAAGCCCAACAAACACAAAGATAATCAAACAGATAGACAAACACACACAACCACTCTTTTGTTCTCTCTCTCTTCCTTACACTATAACAGTCCCTCTGTCTCTAACAATTATTATTATTATTTATTTATTTTTTTGAGAAAACTAGGGTGCAATCAAAGATTGAGTTTGTAATTGCAGTTGAGGCAAAAAAACCGGTAATGCTGAATATATATGACCTACATTTCGGGTCTGGTGGGGTCGTGGGGGGGAGTGTTGTATTCGCGGGATTGCCTGAAGTGCAATTACAAACTGTTTTCGTGACTGCGCCGAAGTTACCCCTATTTTTTTTTTTTCTCTTCCCATTTACCTTTATTTCTTTTTTTTATCTCTTTTCCTCCCTCTTTGTCAAAACGCACATGAAAACAGATAAACAAATAAATTATTCCCTAAACAATTAACAAATAGATAAGTTCATAAACAACCAGACAGCTGATAAAACATAAGAACAAACTAAGCAATTTTCAACCAGGCAACATCAAGGTAAGCAATATCAAGCAAATAATAAATTGAATTGACCCCCCCCCTTATCTGTCTTACACGCCAAAAAACAAACCCAGTAACTTCAACTATGCATGTGCAAAGATAAGCAGTTGCACACAAATATACCATGTTAACTTTGTTTCGGGATTGAGTAGTACTAAGTATGTCACTCTACAATACAAAAAAACAATCCAACAAATAATTAAGCAATCTGAACTACTAGTTACTCGAACAACTTTTGTAGATGCAAACTATGTGCATCATGCATGACAAGCAACACTGCTCAAATTCAATTCAGTTCATGCTTCTTCCTATTGAAATAAAACAAAAATCGCTACCTACGTAGGGCTTCACTCCACTACTCACCAAATGTGGAAAATGAGATGAATCTTCCGCTAAAACATGGAAAGATACACCACCATATTTTTGTCTTTTGTAGATATGGTGAGTAGTGGAGAGAGGCCCGTAGTCTTTTTTTTCCTTTAAAAATAAAATAAAATTGCTCCAATCTATTCGTGGGGACCTTCACATGCGGGGAAATAAAATGGGCTCAGCATCCCATTGACCACATATCTAGCAGGGCCAGTCTACAACTCCATAGACAAAAATCCCAGATAGCTCACAGGTCTGGCTAGAAAACCAAAAAACGCTTCGCTCTGCCTCAACCCAGCTTGTTTCCCATTCAGAAGCTACCCGTCACCTATCTGAGCTAGAGGCTACCAGACCACAACAGCCCCCAGGACCAGCCAACGACAAAAAACGGCCTTTTCCAGTTGCTGGCTACTAATGGGAATGGGGGGGGGTTGACTGGCCTTGCAGTGCTGAGCCAGAAAGCGAAGTGTTGCTGGCTGCCTGCTGGTCTGCACGACGCCTGCGGTAAGAGCGAAGGCAGCAGGGCGGGACATGGTCCCAGCATTGGACCACGACGAATGTGCGGCAGGCAGGGCGGCAGCCGGTATCGAGCACGTGTGGGCGGCCGGAACCGTGCAGTGGGCCAGCAACGACGACGTGTGTGCCGTGCGGTAGGCGCACTTGTCGCACGCATTGGAGTAGTCCGTCACGTCATTTTCCGTGCGCGCGAGGGGTACGATTCCATCAGCACCGATTAGGCGATTTCTGACCGTAGATCTACGGAATCGAAGGTCATCAATAACACTCGATCAAGGCAATCGCGGCGAGCTAAATCATGGCCCCAGGCGGTTCCTCGGCGGGAAAATAAGGAAACGGCGCGCAACGGCTAGTGGCCTTTTTTCCGAACCCAAGCAGTGGTGAACCTCGAGGCTCGCGAACAAATGGTCAAGGGGGAAAAATGGAGAAGGAAATGGAGACCAAAGTTCGAATCCATATCCATTTAGAAGAACAGAATGAAAAAGAAGACGGGAAAAAAAAGGCCCTTTGGGCGGGGTGGTGCTTTCGAGCGGGACTGCCGTTATGGTGGGCGGCAAAAAACACCATATTCCCTTTCCCGCGCTCGAAGTTTGCGACGCTCGGTTTTTGCCGAGTGGCCAAACCGGTCCCACGGGAATGAAAATGGGCCACGGGTGCAAATGGAAACTGTCGCTACGCGACAAAACCCACGATCTGCAGCCCGCAGGCGCAAGAGCTGTCTGTCCGCGTTTCGCTCTTCTCGGTCTCTCTCACTGGCTCGCTCTCGGTTCCGGCATCGAACATCGAATTCTCCAACCTCCGGACCGGAGTGGTTATGGTTTCTTCTCTCGTCTTAGGTAGTCGCAGGGAAGGCTGGAGTAGTTATGGTGTCTGCTGTCTTCTTAGGCACTCTGTCTGAGTCACGGGGAAGAATAGAATAGAGAGATCTATCAGAGAGAAGTCAAACCATCCATCACCCTAAAGGCGGGGCTTTTGAACAGTGTGTTGCGGCGGGAAATGCGCTCGCAAGCTAGGGAGGTCGATGTTACGACTTCACCGTGGGTACCAATTAATCAATCCATGAATCAACCAGGCGATCATTTCTCAGGAGGGATCTGACTGAGCTGAAGGAGAGTGTGAGTACTGACTGTAGTGATTCTCGCTGTGTCATCAGTATGGAAAGGTCACTGGCACCCATGTTCTCAGGCTCGAGTGCGTTCTCCGTCACCGCATCTCCTGGGTCACGGCGGCGACACACTGTTGAGGTGGCATAGGAAGATACGCCGATCTCGCTCGGGGCCAGCAAGGGAAATCGGGTTCTGGCGGTGAGTGATTGTGACAGATTGTCCCCCCGCAGCCCCAACCCCCACCCCCGCACACACACACACACACACACACACA